AGAAAAAAAAAGTGTTTTAGATAAAAAAATTTCAAACCTTAACCCACCCTTTCCCCTCTCCCAAAACAATCTAAAAAAGCAAGAAAAAAGACTAAGATTTAAGACTGTTACTAAAAATTGTTGATTAATGTTGCTGCAGCAACAAAATTGATACAGTTGTAAAACATTTTTCAAACTAAAAATTTATTCAGAATTTACTGGAATCAAAACTATATACTTATTTTGTGAGCAAAAAAAAAGTAACTTCTTTTTTGTTTTCAAACAGAATTGAGCATACATTGCTAAAGAGAACTGTATTACATTTGTAATAAATTATCGAACTAATCGGCGTACAGTAATGCATAAAATGTTGCTATTATTTAGCTCTCAATTTTTGTATTTTATTTCCGATCAAATTTTTTTGCAAATCTGGTATCCAACTATACAGCTATTTCAAATTGTAGTAAACTACAGTTGTACCAGTGCCACTTCAACAGTACAGATACATGTAACAAAACTTTGATAATTCTAAAAATCGACAGTACTTTTCAAATATGCAACATTTATATTGCTGTCGCCGACGGTGATGCTGATTTTAAAGTTATTACAACTGATCAAATTTGGCCGATATTACCACTGAAGTTATGTTTTGTAACGGAAAAAATATATCGAAAAATAAGATTGTCTATCATTTATAGTATTTGTTTTAAAAAAAAATCGACAACGAGGTCAAAATCAGTTAACATTTACACTGCCGTTGCCGTTGATGATGCTGATTTTAAACTTGTTACAATCTGTTCAAACTTGGCCGATATTACTACTGAAGTTATAGTTTGTAGCAGAAACAATATGACAGCAAATAAAATTGTCTTTATTATTTGTAATATTTGTTTAAAAAAAAACTAGAAATAACGACGAGGCCAAAATTAGTCTTTTTTTTTTCTTTCGTTGTTTAAACAAAATAAAATGCAAGTAAAGAGAAAGATTAATGTTTAATAAAAGTAGTTTTTTAATTCTTCAATTTCTTTTCTCTTTTGTCTATTATTCATGAAACTTTTTGTTCATCAAAAGAAATTCATCAGTAAATTAACAGGCAAAAAAAAAAAAAACGTAAACTGTTTAAATGAACATCCAGCAAAAACAAAACAGAAGAAAAAAGAAGAAGAAAGAACTAGTTTTTTTTACTGAGATATAAAGTTGAGTGGAATGATAGGCATCTGTAAAAAGCTATTAAATAAGCAACTAGAACTGTTTCTTTTTTATATGAACATACAACACTAACTGTTGTTTTCTGTTTGCTCATCCTTTCAAAAAATTTCTCCCTTTTTTTATAAGAAATCAAAAAAACTGTTTTTTTTTACGTGAGACATTAATGGACAAAAGACAATAAAGGAGCAATAAAAATATTTTTTTTGGGTGAATTTTTCAAATTTACTGTATATTAAAGTATGCTATGACAAAGATCACTGGTTGGAAGACTAAACTATAATTGTCCAGTTTAAGCCACACACTTAACCACTGATACTTTACTTCTCCATGCCAGACTTGGACAGTTGCCAAGTGAAATTTTGCTTACTAAGTAAGTGCTCAAAATTAGAAAAAACCTTGGTAAATTGAAGAAAAAGAGAAAAAAAAAAGCGTAAGCAAAAGAAAGAGTAAAAATTTCTTTGTTTTTTTTCATTGTTTTATCTGATATCTTTCACATTCTTTTTTTTTTTTTTTTCTTGAGCTGTAACCGAAAAAGTTTATATTATCTGTGAAACATGAACACACAGATAGCAGGACAGAAAACGGGAAGAACAGTTTTACTGTAATGGTATTAAAATTTTTCGATGATTGATAGGTTGACGCTTAGTTGAGTAAATGAAACAGCAACTTGCATATATGGGTTCAGTTTTGATAAACGAACAGTTTCCACCATTGTTCAGATTGATTTACTAAAATTTCATCAGCGTTTACTTTAACAGCACCATTTCACTTCATTGAGGTACAGACTTCTAATTCTTGCACTTTCTAACTTTACTCAGTGTGCAATTTTTCTAGTATTTAAAAATCTTTTTCAAATATAATAATCGAATACTTTTTTTATGAAGCTAAAAACTGCTTTTTCCTTCTTAGTTTAATTCAAATTTAATAACAGCAGATATATTTGGTAAGCCTGGCTGAAAACATAAATTAAGGATTATCACAGAAGTTGATTTAAACGAACGTAAAACTAACGAAAACACAAACAAAAAATTGTAAAAATAAGAAACATTAACTAAATAGATATATTTTTGTCTTTTTTACTTTATTTTATAGCGTAAAATTTGTTTAAAGTACTAATAAGTCTCTTATTTTTCTGTCTTAATATTACAGTTTGATTATCGGACTTTTTCTTACCGTTTTCTTTTTCTGCTTTTATTATATTTAAGATAAAAAATAATATTACTTAACTGTGACAAATGTTCAAAAATAACTTAAAAAATTTACTCAAAACTTGCTGTGCTTAATTTTATACATTTACAGAAGTTGTATTTTTTTGCCATTTTACATCTTTTTCGTCTGCCAAAATTTGTCTGTTACAGTGTAAAAAAACCGAAAAAGAGGAAAGACAAACAATCAATGACTTGAACAGTTTGTAAAATTGCATTGGATGAAGGGGCGATCGGATGAAATGTTCATATGATAAGAATTACTGGTTACTGGTCTATTGTTTGTTGCAATCTGTAGGGTTAACAAATTCAATAAACCGAACACACAGATCTGTTGCCATCAAACGTTGCTGTATCAAAAATTCGAACACTTTACTCAGTTGGATAGTTTAAACAGTTGGCTGTTGTTGTTGCTGTTGGTCAAGTTAACTCTGTTTTGTCGCACCGTAAATTATCAGCCTTAAACTGGTGCAAATTTACAGTTTTAGGGGAACGTTTGATATACGAACGTTGGAATGGAAATACTGTTGATTAAATAAGTGGTGTTAAATCATCATTGGGCATTGTTAAAACCTGATATGCATACTGTTCTAAAAATATTAACAAAAAAAAAGAAACCTGCATCGATTAACATCAATTTTTTGATGACTTAAAACTGTTTAAACATTGTTTTTTTTTCTGTATGGGTAAATCATTTCTTTTCTTGTTTCTTAGTTTCTCAGTCATCACTCGCAACAATAAAGTAGAAATATTTATTTTTTTTTTTTGCTTTTTTTTCACAGAAGATCTTTCTTTTTTTCTCCTTTTTCTTTTTCTTTTTTGTTTTTTAGCAGTCAAAATTTCATGACATACAACAGTATGAACAAGAAATGAAAAAGAAAAGAGAAAAGTTAATTAGTTATGGAAAAAATATAACAAAAAAGAAACTTTGACACAATCTGAATAAGTTAAAGCCAACTTTAAGTGCACACAAACACATACATGAAAAAAAAGTGGAAAAAAAAGACATGTCATTAGCGATCAAAAATCATGTTCCGTAGTTCAACTGTTTGTCTGTTTTGTTTTCCAATTGGAGAACACTTAAACGATGACGACAAATTACATTAACAAACAAAACAAATATTGCACATAAAAAATTTTGAAAACGAAAACAAAAACAAGAAGAGAGAGAGAAAAAAAAAGAGAAGAAGGAACAGTTGATAATGTTGTTTCATTGAAATGACAAAATTTTTCT